CCATATTTTGCATGCACTGGCGAACATTTGGTGAAAATTTGATGAAAATCGGACTGATATTGAGCGCGCAGTAGCGATTTTCCGCAAAACGCCAAAAAGGGTGTCCTGTAACCTTAAGGTCGCTATTAAAAAGAGAGAGAAAGTGAACGCCCTGTCCAAAGTTGTGGGTTTTCTTTCGTTATCCCGGTGTCTTCACACATGAAAATTTGACAATGTGGGTCAAAAGAAATGAGAGCAGCTGTTAACGCAACAGGCTTCGAATAAATTTAAAGTGCTATCTGCTGTACATACATGATGATGTTAAGTTGTATAATTGTATTGATGATGAATTTGAACAAGTTCGAAATATCATTGTGAAACAATTCTCTTTTGTTGTTCTGAAATCTTGAATTGTAAGATGGAACGTTCACTCGGAGTTTGTTTCGTACTTTACGTACTTATTCGTGTTTATATATACTGCGCATAGCTTTAAGATAATTTGTCCGGAAATAATTAGGCAGGTACTGTTCTTCAGTGCTATACTACTCCATCAATTTGAGGGGGAGTTGGCAGTACAATAGTTAGTACACGTGTCTTTTCTTTCTTCTCTTCCCCACAGAGGTTATTCATATTCAGCTGTCTGATTATAAATTAACCTCAGTCATATGTGAAAGAAGTGCTTCCAGTTTTATTCTACCATATTTCTCAATCTACTCTCGTTTTTTTTCCCGCAGTAACACCAGTACTAATGGGCCATTAATATATGCCCCTATAGCTAAAAATTTCAGAACAACAAGAGAAAATTGTTTCACAATCATATGATATTTCAGCGAGCTTTTGCAAATTCGTCATCAGACAGAAGATGGCATTTTTATTCGAAGCCTGTTTCGTCCTTCACTTTATGACGTTATCAACTGCTAACATTGATAATTTACACTAGAAATGGCATTTTTAACCCATCCTGTCCAATTTTCATGTGGGCAGACACCGCAGTAACCGCATCAACAAACTTTTGATGCTATAAAGCCAGAAAAATTGTTTAAAGTAGTGGAAATTAAAAAAAAACAGTGATATACACAGACTAATTGGCCAACGTTTTTCAGCATCTGGGCTGTTGGATTTGCCTTGAAAGACGGTAAATCGTAGGTTTCGTCGTGTTTATACAAAGTTCCTTTTTAAAACAAATTGCCCCCCCCCCCCACGGGAAAATCCTTAAAAAAGGCCCTGATTTATCATCAGACAGAAGATGGCATTTTTATTCGAAGCCTGTTTCGTCCTTTACTTCATGAAGTTGTTAGCGGCTAACATTGATAATTTACATTAGAACTGGCATTTTTAACCCACCCTGTCCAATCTTGATGTGGGAACACGCTGCAGTAACCGAAGAACACCTCACTTTTTTGGCAGAGCGTTAAAACTGATAGAGTTATCCAGTATAAATATTTTAATTTGTCTTTGCAGTCATACAAAGAATCATACACTATAGCTTACAGAACCATTTTTTCTTCAATTAAAATTTTATCCTGTCACTAAAATTTGGTCTCCGCACAATGGCATTTGAGATGGAATTTCACCCGGCGCTGATGGCTTTCGCAGTTTTGGTCATCATTTCAAATATGTTCGCCATCTTGCTGTTTGTTACCAAGGAAACGCTAAGAAAGGGCAGGAATCTTTTACTTCTGAGTTTGGCAAATTGGGCTATTCCATTTAATATCCGTACCCCCCCTGTCGAGGATACATGTTTTTCATAGTTATACCCCTGAAGAATTCCAAGCTCAAAATCCTTTACCCCTGAAGAATTCCAAGCTCAAAACACGTTACCCCTGAAGAATTCCAAACTCAAAACACTTTACCCCTGAAGAATTCCAAACTCTGAAAAATTTCGATCTCAAACCTCTTTACCCCTGAAGAATTCCAAGCTCGAATCCTTTACCCCTGAAGAATTCCAAACTCAAAACACTTTATCCCTGAAGAATTCCAAGCTCAAAATCCTTTACCCCTGAAGAATTCCAAACTCAAAACACTTTACCCCTGAAGAATTCCAAACTCTGAAAAATTTCAATCTCAAACCTCTTTACCCCTGAAGAATTCCAAGCTCGAATCCTTTACCCCTGAAGAATTGCAAACTCAAAACACTTTACCCCTGAAGAATTCCAAGCTCAAAGCACTTTACCCCTGAAGAATTCCAAGCTCAAAATCCTTTACCCCTGAAGAATTCCAAACTCAAAACACTTTACCCCTGAAGAATTCCAAACTCA